TTATATAAATTAAGTAAAAATATCAGATAAACTATGTAAATAGAATAATTATACAATTAAATTTAAATAAATTATATTAAAATGTGAAATAATTTTATTAAACTTTTGTACATATCGTTGATTGTTGCCCCATCGCCACCACCAACCGTCGTTCACCCTTGCTAGGCACTAGTCTCCGGTCATCAATATTATTAGAGTTGTCAATTCCATTGAACCCCACTCATTCGGGCTAGCCCATGTGGGCCATAATGATTTTTTGGGCTGGGTCGGGTTGGTTTGAAAACGTTTCAGACTAGCATTTTACTACCCAGGCAAGCCCGTATGAGTTACGGGCTGCCACAAAAAAAAAAAATTTAAATTTGAAAAAATTATAATAATATAAAATTTTATATTTAATTAGTATAAATAATTTTAAAAATAAAATAAATAGAATAATGGGGCATTTATTACTATTAATTTTTTATAAGTTATTGTTATAATTTTAACAATATAAAATTTTACAAGTTATATAATTTTTATTTTTTTTTTTATAATATTAAGTAGAAAATTATAAAAAGATCTTTTATAACTTCTTAAATGTTTTATTAAGAAGTTATTATACTTTAATTTATTTTATCCCACTTATTCAACTAGACGTGTAACATACACACACATATATATATATATATATATATATATTATTTTTGTTTGAAGCATTCTTCAGATCTCCTCTTGACGCAAGTACTACTAGCCAACTAGGTTCTAGAGGCCGATATTTTTCTCCATAATGCCCTTTCTCCCTCTATCCTATAACAAGTCCCGGTCCCTACCTTTGCGTCGACATTATTACAAAAGACCATATTCCCATCGCCAAAGGCTGCCGATGTGAGCCGACAAGAAAAATATATACGTGGAATTTGTTCCTCAAAAGAATACGAGTCCAATTGACGATAAGAGTTTTTGGAATGTCTTTGTGAGAATGCATTAAGTCCGGCTACTTGATTGCAACCATTTGAAGATGGGAATCAAATTGAGAATTGTCATAGAATAAGGAGGCCATTGCGCAATCTAGCCTTGAACGGATCAATATCCTGATAGACCCGCCATGTGAAAGTCACTTTGTCTAGAACTTTTTTTCAAATCTGGTAAGGTAAGCATGTGTTTCGAAAATTTTTTTCCTTCTCTGCCAAACAGCCTCTACAATCAATCTGTTGGCGCTGACTGGTAGTTTCAATCTGAAAATTTTGGTTCGCTGACCTGCTTCCCCGCTTAGAATTACAACATAGAAAACCCCGAAAGTCACCTGTCATCAAAATATCTTCCAATCAATGGCCCATAAAAGTCCAAGTGGGACCCACTGGTTGAATCAAACTATGTTAAGGGCCAGGGTAATTAAAAATTCTGAGCGCGGATACACAAAATTACTCCTCCACGATATGAGTTGGATCCAGGAGGACCGGGGCCGACAGTCTGGAACCGTTAAAATCCAATGTGCGGATCTGCTGGCGATTCGAAGACTCGGTTCAAATGGACGGCTCAGATTTCTTCCCACTCCAGCATTCCACATGTATGGTGTGCGTATGTTATACGATATCATCTTCACGACGCCTGCTCCTCTACGACATTGCAAGCTCATTTACGAGCTCCCCAGTACCCGAGGCCTTGGTCTTAAATAGAGAGGGGGAGAGAGACTGCTGTCTGAGGAGGCGGTGGTCTAGACAGGGAAAGTCCCTGTTTCGTTCGCAGATTAGACCTGCATTGTCTTAGGTAAGTCTTTTCTTCTGTTTCTTCCGATTCAGTTATACATGGAGCTCTAGATCTGAGCTTTCGTTGGTATTAAGCTGAAAATCGGTGTCTGCTTTTAGCAATTTCTGGGTGATATATATGTTGACTTGTGAATTGAAGTGAGTTTGCCGAAGTACATTATGGTTTAGATATGCTTGTTAGTTAAATTCTCGTTTCAATCTGAGGTGAGACATCTATAGTGCTCGATGGATCTTCTTCCTCTTTTTTTTATTTTTTTCTATTTAGGTTTTCTAAGTTCTTAATGAGTAACCGTGCTCCGTTTGACACTATCCGCACTCATTGATGCGGAAAGGCCAGCCACTTTTTTATTTAATTATTTTTTTAATTGTTTTAGGTTAGTAAAAAATTGTGATTTAGTTCGAAATGATGGCTTACCGTACACTTCCTGCTTAAAACTTGTGTAAGAAGTTCCCTGGTGAATGAGCTATAAAGGTACTCAATAAGATTATGCAATTTAGGATTTAGAAAATTGAAGAATTTATCAGAATTCTTATTGCTTTATCTTCAGATAGAGATGTTACAGTGTACAAATGCTTCAATGATGTTGCTAGTTTTACCCGGACAGAGACTAAATTACTGATTCTTGTTGCCTCTGTTCTATCTTTCTAAACTGTCCCTGTTCCCGCAAGCAGAGACTGCGAGAATCAAGTGATCATCCTGTAGCATTACTTAGCACAAATTGCAAAAGGTAGCGAGCGTGGTGTTTAGTTTTGAAGTAGCATTCTTTTATCTTTTTAAGGGCTCAAAGCTTCAGCTTGATTGCTTGAGTCTCAAAATAGAGCATAAACTATGCCATGCTCTCTCAGTGTAGGGATGCACTCATGTTGTGGAGTGCTTAAGGCTAAATCGAGAGAAGTGTGGAAAATTACAAATTGCTACCTATTCATATCTCTACCTATTCTAAATTTCGTAAGTGCAGATAAGAATGATATGAGAACGTATATCTAATGTATTTGGAGATTCTTTTAAAGGAATCATTCAATCATCTTTTGCCCACAATTTTGCATGCAAGTCCTGCTATGGCAACTATCCTAGTCTTATCAATAATTCTTACAAATTGTTTGACGGGATGCTATTGCTATTCCTGTACCCTCAGTTATGATATCTATTTTCATCCTTAGTTTGAGTGCCAGATTTATAGAAGTTGTAGTTTCAAGTTGTTGATTGTTTTTATTTTGTTCTTAGAACTTTTTACATTTGTTTCTTTCCTTCTTCTGTCAATTTTATCTAATTTATTAGATTAAATTTCAGGAAAGGTTATAAGATTGGAAGTTGGAAGAGTTTAAACTACTTGTTATAACAACTAATGTAGTTCTTTCCTTACATTTTCATCCTATGCTAAGCTATATTAACATGGCACCATAGGCTTTCATCAAACTTAGTCAGAATGCATTGTGCATGGCACCTTACAGTATCAGTGAAAGGTCATCAAATACCAAAATATTTTTAGGTCTTCCATTCATGTAAGTGTATCAGTAAATAATCAGAGTCACAATTAAACGTTGGCTCTGAGTTGTGCTTCTGAGTTGATCCAATAAGTCTTTGACTAAGCATAGGTGATAGGGCCTCATACAAGAAAATTCTTCATAAGCATCATGGCTGCAGCACATTATGCCCAAATTTCACAAGAGGATGGCAATTATGAAAATAGTTATTATAGTGATGTCACTTTCTTTGGAGAGAAGGGTTGAACTAGAGATGGATTGATTCTATAGAGGATCTTGTTGAGGATTTCTTGCTTGGCATCTCTCTCCAGAAAGTCATGCATTTTGTTTCTTAATTCCTTTTTGTGACTTAGGATGATAAGACTTTGTATTTGTGCCAATGCTAGACTGTGAGCTAATATGAATTTTAAAAACTGGTAGGCCCGAGGATAAACTAAAACATTCTGAGTTACTTTGTCCAACTTATTTCTTTTCTTTTTTGTTCACTAAGTACTTTTTTCAATAACTAATCAAATTGAAAACTTACTACATATCTTGACCTCTCCATTATAAAAATAAATCAGAAGAAGAAGACATTTTAAATTATTTGAAGGAATCTAAGTTTGTGAGTTTACCTGTTTCAATGTTTATTTATAGAGGCCATTAAAGCCATTATTTTGTCCTCTATAGTCTGACAGTTATGTATCTTTTTATTTGCAAAATTGATTGTAGTTCCATAGCAAGGTGCCAAGATGGTTGCACAAGGCTTTACCGTGGACTTAAATAAACCCCTTGTCTTCCAGGTGAATGCTCAACACTAACCTCTTTTTCCTTTATTAAGGATTATAATAATTTAACCAAGCTGTAAATTGCCTTGAGAAGAACAAATAATATGTTTTCAAGAAATGACGATGTGTCACTGGTATTTCTGTTGAATTGTATTTCAAATATTATATTACATTTAGTAATTCTTTCGAGTCATGTTTCAAATATTATACTAGTTTGATATTTTGTTGAGTGGCCGTTTTAGCTATTAAATTTGGTTTGTACACATATGCTTGTCTGAATCTCCATTTCGCTGCTTTCAAACTTTGCGTATTTGTAGATTCAGTTGCTGTATAAGGGCTGAGTCGTGGTTGGACAAAAACTGTGCATTCAGTTATAATATCATTGATCACTGAATTAAACCAAAGTGAATTTATTGAAGAATAGGAATGAAAGAACTGAATCAAAATATATGGAAACTGGATTCCAGCAAACCTAATTGTAAGATTTGGTTTGTTTTGTATATCACGTTCTGCGCCCCTTGAGTTGGGCTGCAGTCCAGAAACAGCCTGCAAGGTAAACTTAATTATGTAAACAGCACGGAATTGAAAAGCTTGGCTTGAGTCTATATGTATAAAACATGAGGACATTACAAATATAGCATATGGCCCAACTCCATGCTATTTAAATGAAATGTAAACTAAGTGCTTTGTTCTCTTTTTTTTTCTTTTACAAATGAACTAAATGCAGCTGAAGTGCAATAAATTTGAGAGAACATGTGGAAAAGCTCTTTATGTTTTTCAGCAGGGGCAGTATATATACAAACCTAAATTGAATTAGAACAAAAATTTCTGTTGCTTTGAACTTTAAACATGATTCGGTTTTGTATATTATATTTGCACTCAAATCAACAATAAAAATTTATTTTAAAGTTGAAAATTTTAATCATTTAAGGGGGTAAATCTTTAAAGATGTTAAATAAAAGTTGACATTTCCTGACTTTATGGGGGACAAACTTTGAAATCAATGGGTGCAATGACCTAAATTATATGGATGCAAACTTTTGTTTTAGAACTTCATTTCTTTTCTCTGACTTAAGTGACTTTGTTTGGTTGTTGCCTTGGGATGGGGTTTTAGGGGGTTTGCCTTGACTGGTTTGTTTGGCCTTGTCAAATTTTAAGAATTCTAAACTGGCCCATCAGAAATTTTTACAAAACAAGGCAAAGATAGTAGAAATTATGCAAGTTCCACAAAGAATTGGTCACAAGTTATATAACCTTATAGTGTTCATCTAATTGCAATTGTGGGCAGGAAATAAAGCTAAATGCTTGATACCAGCTGTTGGTCTATGTTGGCACACTGTTAGTTTGAGGCCCTTTTTGGCCATATATCTGACTGCGTCTCTTCCTTTTCAGCTTATTTCTTACATTTCATCATTAATGAGATTTGATCAAGCATAAGTGAAAATTTGGAAGCTAATTATGATAATCAAGTCAGGATTAACAAATTCTTTAGTTCAAAAGTGTTAGCCAGAAATAATTTTATTTATCTGGGGCTTTTGGATAATAGAGTGAGTTTGAGAAAATGTGTTCAGCATTCATGTCACTTTGTCTCAAATTTTCTTGTCAGTTGACAATTCACTGCCCAACTGATTTTGACTTGGAAGGCTATTTGCATTCTTGTCTTTTTTACCAAATTTTCACAGGTTGGTCACCTTGGAGAGTATTACCAGGAATGGGTTCACCAGCCTATTGTTAGCAAGGAAGGTCCTCGATTTTTTGAAAGTGATTTTTGGGAGGTATTACTTCTTTTAGTGAATAAAGCTTTTGGCAAACAAGTTCAGCATTGCGCTACTTTTATATTTACTAATAGTTTTTATTTGAATTTTGATCTTTATGGACTCATTTTATATAATATATTATTGTCCAACTTAAACTGCTGCCTAAATTAACAGATTTGCTTGAAACAGTTTTTGACCAAAACAGAATGGTATGTGATTCCTCTTATATGGCTGCCAGTCGTATGCTGGTGCATCTCCAAGTCTGTTTGGATGGGTCATACACTCCCAGAGATAGTTTTGATGGTGGCCTTTGGTATTTTTATATGGACGCTACTGGAATACAGTTTGCACCGTTTCCTTTTTCACATTCAAACCAAAAGCTATTGGTTAGTCTTAGTGTGTGTGTGTGTCAATACAAAAAGGCTGAGATTATGTGTTTCAATACAAAGAAGTTGAGCTTAGTTCTACTGTATAGAAAGTATTATTTTGTTGCTTTCAAGGCTACTGTACTGATTGTGTTGGGTGTTTTCATATAGGGGCAACACCATACATTATCTTCTTCATGGTTGCCATCATAAGCACCCAATGGATGGACTACGCCTTGTTTTTCCCCCTGCTGCAACGGCTGTTCTCTGTGTGCCAGTATGTACTACTGTATCTTGTTTCTTGCTTTGTACTTCTAATTAAATATGTCTTTATTGAAAAGGTTTTCCACATTTTTCGGAGAGTAGTAAATGATAAATTCTGTCCTAGACAGCTTAGATCTGTACAGATATAGATGCGTGTCTTCGATTTCATGGTGGAACTGATTTGTTTCCAAGTATGTTTGACTTGTTGCATCTATTTTTGCCAGTTCTGGAACTTGGTGAGAGCCCTATCTACTGCTTCTACTGCCCCAGCTTTGTTTGGAGGAGGCTTACTGGGCTATGTGATGTATGATGTCACCCATTACTACCTGCACCATGGACAGCCAACAAAGGAGGTGCCCAAATATCTCAAGGTAAGTGGTGTACTTGTTCAAATAGTTGCAAGGGTTCAGTTCATTTCTTTTTCATTTGATTAACAGTGATTCTAGTCTTATCCTGATGAATAAACCATCTATGATTGCACATAGGGTTTACCCCTTTCTAGATTATGGAAAATTGAGTCAGCTTGTATTTGTGTTTTCTGATATGTTTTTAGTTTTTGCTCTGTGATTATGCATACAGCAACACTGAATTTGTAAAAATTGGAAACTCATATCACATTCCTTTTCAAGTAAAATAGTTTTTAAGATTTCTGAAAAGAATATTTTTCTGCTTTCTAGAACTGAGCCTGTTTTCTGAAAATTCCTTGTAAAACAGTTTTTGAAAATAACCTGCCAAACGGGTTTTCTATTTCAGAGAAAGAGAATGCTGTTTCGGAAGAAATCTTTATGGAAGAGATTGGTTGGTTTGTTCAAGAACCTATCTTGTCAGCATTATTGTGCTGATGGATTTAACTGGTTGTCTTTTGCAGAAATATCACTTAAATCATCATTTCCGCATCCAGAACAAAGGCTTTGGTATCACTTCGACATTGTGGGACAAGGTGTTTGGAACACTACCTCAAACAAAAGCAGCTGCGAAAAAGACATGACATAATTGTTTCGAACTTGCACACCAAATCTAGGGGTTTTAACATTATTTATCCTCATTCTTTCAATCTATTGCTTATCAGTTTTGTGGCATACTTTCATATGCTGTCTTCGATAAGGTTAGCATTTTAGAAGGATTGGTGTTGACTTGGTTCTTCCTACAAAGAAATCTCTGTAAAAAAATGAATTGATGCTTGGATTAATAAATTGATGCTTGGATTCATTATCTCTTGTTCCCCCAACCCCAACCCCAACCCCAACCCCAACCCCGCACCCCCCTCTCCCCCCTCCCCCCCCAAAAAAAAAGGAAAAAAATAAAAGAAAAACGGATAAAAACTTTTCCTATCACTGCTGGTCCATGTCAAAACCTATGACTTATCAATGGAAGTTGTTTTGGTAGTAATCATTCAGGAGTCTTATGAAGTATGTTTTGGTATTCACTAGACGTCGATTCAGCATATTCTGATTGCGTTGGGCGATCTGAGCTGTGCATCGATTTTCCCTTCTGTTTCTTTTGGTTTTATAAAATATAAAACTAGTTTGTTTAATCCACCTTGTAACTATCCAAACGAAATTGAGAGTCTTGGTGGACTAAAATTAGTCTAAACTTAAAGCACAAACCGGAAAAATTGTATAAAATCAAACATGCCCTTAAGGAGTGACTTCAAACCACAATGAAAGATAAGAACAATGATGAATCAGTAATTGGAAAAAGTAAATTCCACAATTTGTTTGTTGCTATTTTGTGCGCCGTAATTGTCTGATTACTTGTTTTATTTCTTGATCTAAGATGATCCTTTACTTAGGCTAAATGGTCCATTCTTGGTCTGTTTCAAGGGGTTGTTCTCTGTCCTGCCTTCGTAAAAATGTTCTGCACTAGAAGAATTTGAAAAGGTGCCGCGGATGTCCGAAACATCACTTGTATAGTTGGTCTTCAAACACAACCTTTAGTCTCAGAAACTTGGTGAAATTAGGTATAGTGGGTGTGAAATTCACATAATACAGTCACTTCTCCCTTGAATTTTTAATTGCGATTATCAAAACCCTGCATTTCAATTCAAGTAGGTTGTCATGTGACCTTTACATTATCTCAACTCCTAAAAGAGGTAGTACTGTGACCCATCTATCTTCCCAAATCCTGAAAAAGGTTATCGTCAAATCTAAAGATTGAAGGATAAAGTAAAAACTGATTTCAAGTGCAAGTTGAAAATTACTAGGTTTTGTAGTGTAAGGTGCGAACTGTGGCATTTTTATCCATTTACTAAGACGATCAACCTCTTTCAATTTGATGGAAATTGCGTGGTTTTTACTGTCATAAATGAAAGTTCATGACCTAAAGTGAAATTGATCCCTAATTGCAATGGTGTCAAGCGTAGTTTACCACTGTAATCCGATATAAAGCTCAGGCCAAATCTACGTCATCTTTCTTTTCACTTTTGGAAGCAGTGGAATACTTTGTTCATATCTGAAGAAATTTTTAGGATCAGCATTTGTCTTGATTGTCACCAGCCTCCTGAAATTATTTTTGAAGTACTTTTTACCCCAAACCTTTCCTCGGGAATAACTGTTATTACCATGCTGGTTAATTCCCAGGTCAAGATCTCTGTAATTGAGATAAGCAGTCCTAGGAGAATTAGAAACATATGGCGTCATGTACTTGTACAACTCTCTGATCCAGTTTAAGTGCTTCTCTGTCTCCCCAACTCCGTCAACATCCCACTTTACCAAGTACTGAATGTTGTACAAATTTCCCTTTCTATGTGGAAACGGCAGCTCGTGCTCTAAAATTTGACTCATTCTCCCTCCATAAGGATCCATTATCATGAAAACTAGCTTCTCTTCGAGAAATCTCTCCCAAATTCCTTCCAGTCCTTTTTCGGAAATGGGTTCTTTCACAAAATCCGATTTTGCCTTAAAAAAGGTCTTGTACATGGTAGTTCTATTTAGCAGAAGCTCCAAGCGTTCTCCTCTTTGGTATCCTGCAAAGAACTGAACTGATTCAACCCAGCTCATTTCGCTGCAGTTCTCTGCCTGGAGTCCCAACTCGGGGAAGCTGTTTTTCATTAGAGGAATCAACTCTTCAATTCTCCCGAGGAATAGCGAGTTAAAAGAAGCCTGGATTGTCTTTTTTTTGCCTTCGTCAACGTTTTGGATGATGATTCTGACAAAGAGGTCTTCTGGGAATTTATCCAAAACGTACTGCCAGCGATGCACGAGCTTGGTGGCGCCTTCTTCTAGCTTCTTGTCGATGTTGAAAACCGTCACTATGGGTGGGACACGGACCAGCTTGATCTTCCATGAGACGATGACTCCAAAGCTGGCTCCACCACCTCCCCTGATTGCCCAAAAGAGATCCTCACCCATTGCTTCTCTGTCAAGTGTTCTTCCATAGAAGTCAATCAAATAAGCATCAATAATATTATCAGCTGCGAGGCCATGTTTCCTCAACATGGTCCCAAAACCTCCTCCACTGAAGTGGCCTCCAATCCCTACACTTGGCACAAACCTGCCGGGAATCCGTGGGTTCGGCTCTTCTGGGCAATGCTATAATAAAGTTCTCCTATAGTTGCCCCCGATTCTACCCATGCAGTTTCATCTTTCAAATTGATAGTGATTGACCTGCGAGCAGTGGTGTAGCCAGAAAATTTTGTCATTATAATCAATCAATATTTAGAAAACAGCATCCCAAGTCACGAAATACTCTATTTTATTAAATACATTCATAAACTGAAATGTTGTAAAGAAAATTAATTTCAAAATTACCAAGACTTGGTGCCTATAACTAAGAGTTTTTCTCTTGCCTGAGATTGATGAGGTCGACTAGGACGAAAGGAGTGTTGCAGAGGAAGGACAGGCCTTCATAGTCGTGGCCACCGCTTCTGACCCTGATTTGGAAACCGTGCTTCCGGCTGCAGAGAATTGTTGCCTGGATTTGGGATTCGGCATAGGGCGTGATGATGGCTAGAGGCTTTGGTGATGTGGAATTGAGCCATCGGGGATTTTGCTGAGAAGATTGAAGCATGGTTGAGTATAGAGGGGAGTCTGGGGTGTGGATGTATTGTGAGGAGCGAATGCATGTTGTTGGGCGGATGGTTATGCATCGGATGGAGTCTTCATGGACTGCATTGCTTGTTGTCAGATAATATGCAAGCAAAAACAGAGAAATTACTTTCACATGACAACCCATCTGTTTCTCCGTCCATAGGAATAGAGCCATCTAAGGGTTTCTGTCGGAGGTGTCTGAAAATTCTATGTGGGATCACAGAAGTAGGGTTGTAGCTAACTCATTTTATAGAATCAGAGTCTGCTGATGGTTCCCAGGTAATACAGAGTCTAGAATTTTATCCTGGCAACATTAGGCGGCAATTCTTCGCGGAGAATCAGATTTGCCTGCATTTATTTAATGGTTGACAATGACATAATCTGTATCATCTTAGTTAGTTGTTATAGAAAAAAGTTTAAATTTAGAAGTTTGATATTGATATATGAACTAGAATGAATCAATGCGAGCTTCGTAGAAATGGAAACACCTTTTGTCTGTTTGATTTGGATTTATAACTGATTTATGTTTTTGGAAATAAAATGTGTTGGCAGTTTTCAAGAATTTTCAGAAAACATGTCTCTTTCCACAAATAACCAAAAATTATTTTCAAAGTTCAAGAAAAATTATTTATGAGATATCATTACATTTTATATTAATTTATAAGAGTGAGATGATATATTATATAAGAGATTAAAAATTATTACTGAATAATTTAAATTTAAACATTTTGGACTAGTGGTTCAGGTTTAATAAATTATTAAAGTCAATAATTTTTAAGTTGTTACAAAAAGTATAAGAGTAAAATGATTTTCGAACATGTTTTGTTTGGTTACAAATATAATATAATATAATATATAAGAGATTAAAAATTATTATTGAATAATTTGAATTTAAATATGTTGAGTTAGTAATTTAAATTTAATGAGTTGTTAGGCTCACTAACTCTCAGATCATTATAAGTAGGACTGTTAATTCGGACTAGTCTAGCCCATTCACCTTGGCCCAGCAGTGCCAAAAGATTTTTTTTTTTTTTTTTGGTTACAAGAGGGGCCAAAGGCTCAGAAGAAGAAAAACAAGAAATTAAATATTATAAATCCTGAGATGTAATAACTTTCATAAAATTCTGGAGGAGAAAATTTCTCAAATGATTTGGGGGTACGTCCAATTAATCAAATCAAAACTATGAGACAGACTAAATTTGGCCATAAAGTCAGCGCATTTATTGATTTCCCTCACCACATGCTTAATTTCCACCCTCTACTCTTGAATTTTGTTTTTATCGCGGAAGTTAAGAGTGTGAAAAATTAAAAATAATAATAAAAAAAATTAAATAAACTTATACAATTCACTCAATAATAAATATAAAAAATTTTAAGTAAAGTAAAGAGAGTAAGAATAAAATATGCAAACTCTTTTATATCAGTCAAGCTGACTTGAAAATGGTTTGGGCCAACATTTAGTTAGCCCAACCCAACCTAACCCAGCCCTGTATGGGCTATGGGTTGGCATGTAATTTTTTTTTAAATTTGAAAACATATTATAATAATATAAAATTTTACAGTTTAATTAGTTCAAATAATTTGAAAACAAAACAAATAAAATGATGATATATTTATTACTCTTTTTTTAAATTATAGTTATAATTTTGACAATATAAAATTTCACAAGTCTTGTAATCTTTATTTTATTTTTACTCTTATAATCTTTAGTAGAAAATTATAGAAAAATACAAATAAAGTGGGTTGGGGTTTAGTTTAAATTATTCGAATTTATATTGATACAATTGGACTCATTTTTTGTTTTTTATTTTAATTTATAATTTATTTAATATAATATAAACATGATAATGAGAATATATCTTTTTATTAAATTTCTGTTTTTGTTAAAAATAAAATAACATATTATTAATGATAATATTAAAATATATCATTTACATAATTTATTAAATTTAAATATATTAAAAATTAAGATAAAAAAATAACATTAAATTTATTAAATTTATTCAAATCATTGGACAACATAGCCTAATATATTTTCAAGCTAAGCTAGACCGGTCGGGTCGGATGAAAAAACTTTGAACTTATATTTCATTAATCCAGCTCAACTTATTCAGCGGGCTATCGAGGCTGACTCATCAAGCTCGGCCCACTTTGGCACCCTAATTACGTGCAGCCATTTGCCAGCTTCATATGTCAGCTATTTTGATTAGACATGGAGGTAGAAAAATGCGAGCCTGTAAGACGCTCACTGTCTTCTCTGCTGCCTTCCTCTGTAGTAAATTCCAACCTTATATTGTGATCTTTTAGAGCCTTTGAAGGCGAAAGTTTTATTTGCTGTGTCCGTGACATTAATTCTTTCCGACCGGCACAACGGAAATAATAATATAAAACGAAGAACTGAATATTTTGAATAAAAAAAAACAATTTCTTAATAGGACTTATAAAAAACAAAATTAAAAAAAGAAAGACTTGACTGAGGAAAATAAATCCGTGTACTACTTCAGAACATTTCCGTTGCTGCAATTGTATATTGCTCCGACCAACTCCTCAGTTGAGTGTCCGTCAATCAATTGATTTTTTTTTTTTAATTGTTTGATTCTTTCAACTGATCTAAGCATCTTTTAATTGAACGTGTAATGATAATTTACTAAATAAAAGATAGAGATTCAAACGGCTAAATATTCTATTAATAAAGAAAATTATATATTAATATTATATTTTGAGATAATTAATATCATATTTTATTATGTGAAGATATTATAAATAAAATACTTTATTAAAAAATATTATAAACGATAAATTCAAAACTAATGGTAGACAGAACAAGCAGTGGCCGGAGCTTACAAGGGTCCACCCCCCCCTCCCCCAACAAAAAAAAAAATTGTTTTAATATGGCAAATAACAGAGGAGAAAGATAAAAATTTTGAATTAAATCAACAAACCCAGGAGAAAAAATAAAGCTCAAGACAGAGGAGAATACATCCAGATCAATAATCCAGAGCTAAAAGCGAGGTCAGAACAGCCGGCGGGAGAGAGAGAGAGAGAGCAGATGGTAAAAAGTGAAGGAGGATACAATGTCCGTGTTGAAAGGCTGGTGGTCTTCAATGGATAGTTCTGCCGGAAACGCATCAAAAATTTTTGCCCCGACTTTTAATAGCTCACTTTTAATTTCAACCGTCATTTTGATTTTCGACTGACTATTCCGTCACAAACCCACTTCTTAAATATTAAAAAAATTTCCTTTGAAAAATATATAATTTTTTCTGAAATATATGTTTTAAAAAATCATTTTTTATTTTCTAACAAACATTCTATTTTTCCAACCCGCTTCTTAATTTTTTAAAAATGTTTGCCACTTCCCGTCGCAGTTTCAGGTTTTAAGTGACGTTCATTGAAATTATTTTAATCCACTCACACTATCAATTTTGCATCTGGTTGCACATCTATGGACTCATTCCGTTTGCAAGATAAAATTAAAGAAAGATAGAGACAAGAACATGTATAAACGTTTCGTCGTCCTTTATCAAATGTAATTTTAGTTAAAAAACTCTATCATTACCTACCTAAATGGATTAGGATAACTTATCTTGCAGTGGGGATATGAGATCTCTTTTAAACAGTATTTCAAATTTTAGTTTTGAACACTTTAGCCCCCTCTGCTTCACCTCTTTCTCATTAGCATCCGGTCATTATTGCCACTCACCATCTGCCATCAAATCGCTGTCGCCAACTGCTGTTGTTGCTCGTCTGCACAATTGTTCGATAGGTGTTCATTGCTCATCGATAGCCGGTGATTCATTGATCTGCAATTGTTGATCTGGATGTTCAGATCTCACCGTCTCTCTCTCTCTCTCTCTCTCTCTCAACATTTTTCGATTGTATGCGATCAACATCCGTGAATTTCTCTTCGACACAGGATCATTCTGTACAGGACCATGAGTTTCCATTGGACGCAGCTGTTGTTGGTCAGCTTATAAATTATTTATTTTATTTTTTCAATATTATGAAAGTTGGATTTAGAAGAGGGCTTGATTTTAATGTTAATTAAATAAAAAAACTTGAAAACGTCTTAAAAATAAAATCAAAATAAATATTTGCATACCTTATTCTTAAAAATGAGAAATTAGGACAATTATATATAAAAACAATGATGATGCAAGAACAATATGTATGGCATTCGCGGTGGTTGATTTGCCAGTGCAAATCATCGGTCAGGTGCAGCAGCAAAGAGAGAAAATTCAAAGAAGCATTCATCCACGACCGAAACTTGAACAGATCAATCCAAAGAAAAAAATGCTGAATAATTTAATTTCACGGGTGACAGATTTCAAGTTTCAACCAGAAGAAAATGAAGATCTTCTGATCGTGGGCAGCCATTGAACAAGACAGCAGAAGCTGTAAAAATCCAGAAGCAGAAACACAGGAAGAACAGAATAGTAAAATACCAGGAGGTTCTTGGTTTGAACTATACAAGGGCGTTTATATGGGCCTTCGGTGGGTCTTTTGTTTTCTTAACTGAGACAATCCAATCACCAAGCAAAACACAAGCAGATTACAGACAACTCGATGTGGGTCTGATGGCCATGACTTTTCTGCTTTTCAAATTGATAGTGATTTCCTGTCGCTGCGACCGACTGTGTGGGATATAGAGAAAAGGTCGTCGGACCAAGGCATGCTGGTCGTAGTTAAGATTGGAGCACTATTTCTGTGGCCCAACAATGGCAAAAAGAAAGGGAAATCATGTATTAAGGGAAAATTTTATATCAATACTAATTTTTTTTAATTTACAGAAATAGGATGGCGAAAAAGTATTTATGAAAATAGGTAAAATTTGTTTTACTTAAGAAATCAGTTTCTTGGCGACTGATTTATGCACAAAAAAAGAAAAAAGAAAAGGTTTTCAAGAGACTGATTTCTTTTGAGAAATCGGTTTTGGGAAATCGATTTTAGTTAGGAAATTTAGCCTTCCTGTAGAGCTCCATCCACGGAACTCTATAACAAAGGGAGGGGAGGAAGGAAAAAGGGAGGCAAAAAAAAAAAGAAGCTTCCATGAAGGTTTGCAATAGGGGAAGGGGAAGAAGAAGAAAGGGGTGGAAGGAAATAAGAATAAGGGGAAAAAGAGAGAAAAAGGAAAGAAGGGGGAGAACCTCCGTCGGGATGGAGAGTTTTATTGCA